TATTAAATTTTTTTTTTTTTTTTTCTGAGACGGAATCTCCCTCTGTTGCCCAGGCTGGAGTGCAGTGTCTCGATTTCAGCTCACTGCAACCTCTGCCTCCCAGGTTCAAGCGATTCTTCTGCCTCAGCCTCACCAGTAGCTAGGACTACAGGCATGTGCCACCACACCTGGCTAATTTTTGTATTTGCAGTAGAGATGGGGTTTCACCATATTGGCCAGGCTGGTCTCGAACTCCTGACCTCATGATCTGCCCGCCTCGGCCTCCCAAAGTGTTGGGATTATAGGCATGAGCCACCATGGCCAGCCTCATTATCAAACTTTTTATGTCATGATGTGGCAAACTATATTTTTCAAAGATGGCAGTACCCACATCTCCCATGCACTTTTTACATGGTGACTTGAAGACTCCTCCCATTCAGAGTTGGGTCTATGTTCCTTTTATGGGTTAAACTGTGTTTCCCCAAAAATTCTTATGTTGAAGTTCTAACCTACAGTACCTCAGAATGTGAACTTAATCAGAGATGGGGTCTTTACACAGTTAATCAAGTAAAATGAACTCATTAGGGTGGGCCCTCATGCAGTATGACTGGTGTACTTTTAAAAAGGGGAAAAATGGACACAGACACACAGAGCGGGAAGATGATGTGATGAGACAGGGAGAGAAGAGAGGAGAGCCAAGGAGAGAGGCCTGGAGCAGATCCTTCCTCTCAGCCCTCAGAAGGAACTAACCCTACCAACCCCTTGATTTTGGACTTCCAGCTTCCAGAACTGTGAGACAATACATTTCTCTTATTCAGGCCACCAGTCTGCAGTACTTTGTTATCGCAGCCCTAGCAAACTAAATCCTCCTCTCAAATCTGGGTAGCTTATAATTACTGTGGAAGTGACATTACGTGACTTCCTAGGCCAGGTCATAAAAGGGAATACACCTTCCACTGATTCTCTTGGAAGACTGGTCTGTGAGGAAGCCCAGGCCACCAGAAAAGTTCACATGTTGGTGTTCTAGCTGACAATCCCAGCTGACAGCTAGCATTGACTGATAGAGATATAAATTAAGACAACTTTCACCCTTTGATTCTCTTTGTTAATTCCTGAGTCAAAAAAGGTGTTAGCATAATGAAATGATGGTTTTAAGCCACTACATTTGGGGATAATTAAATAATAGTTTGTAACATGTCTTTAAAATTATTTTTATTTAAGATTATTCGTGCCTTTGCCCAAATTGTTTCTCCTGCTTGGAATCCTTTCCCCCCAGATATCCAGCGTAGCATTATTCTAGTCTTTGCTCACTGTTTAAAATTTCCACCCACCTGTCCTTTCCATTCTGCCCCGCCACTACTACCTCCAGCCCCCTTAGCTGTTCTATATTTTTCCACACGGCAAATATTACCTTTTAACATATGATATCATTAATTAATTAAGGTATTCAGTTTACTTATTTCTTATGGTCTTTCTTCTGTTAAATCTGTAAAGCTTTTGAGGGCAAAGACTTTTGTCCATTTGTTTACTGATGTATCCCAAGTTCCTAGAACAGTATTTGCCCCATAGTAGACACTCAATAAAATAAGTATTTGTTAAGTAAATGAATGAGAGGAATTTTAAATCTGGGAAATTAGAAAGTCACTGTTAACTCTGCAACTTTTTGGAATTTTTTTTTTTTTCAAGAGACAGGGGTTTCACTATGTTGCCCAGACTGGCCTTGAACTCCTGAGCTCAAGCTCAAGCGATCCTCGTGCCTCAGCCTCCCAAAGTGCTGGGATTACAGATGAGAGCTACTGCGCCCTGTCTGTATCACATTATTTCAGTGAATGCCATTTCCCAAACTGGTATCCCATAGTAAAATAAATTTGGAAAATATTACATCATATGTATAGTCCTCTGAAAGAGTCACAATGTACAAAACAAACCTAAACATTTCAAAGTGTTGCAGTAAAGTCAACTGCTTTCTTGATGTACCTCATCTTTTCCAAAATTTTCATGGCCAGGTTGTTCCATGGCACACTGATTACCACAGCAGTGGCGTATGGAGTAGGAATGACACTATGAGGGCCTATGGAATATGGAGAGAGGATATGAAAGCAATGGGGACAAACAGATGGTGGCAGAGTTGTACAGAAAAAGGAACACTTAGACACTGTTGGTGGAAATGTAAATTAGTTCAACTCCTGTGGAAAGCAGTTAGGAGACTTCTCAAAGAACTAAAAATAGAATTACCATTCAGCCCAGCAATCTCATTACTGGTATATATATTGGTATATATCCAAAGGAAAAGAAATCATTCCATCAGAAAGACACCTGCACTTGTACATTTATCACAGCACTATTCACCATAGGAGACATGGAATCAACTTAGGTGTCCATCAGCGGTGGACTGGATAAAGAAAATGTGGTGCATATATACCATGGAATACTATGCAGCCATAAACAAGAATGAAACCATGTCTTTGCAGCAACATGGATGCAGCTGAAGGCCATTATCTTAAATGAATTAATGCAGAAACAGAAAACCAAATACTATATGTTCTCACTTATAAATGGGAGCTAAATATGGGATACACATAGACACAAAGATGGGAATAATAGACACACTGGGGACTCTAAAATTAGGGAAGAGGGCAAGGGTTGAAAAACCGCCTATTAAGTACTATGTTCACTATTTGGGCAATAGGTTCAATAGAAGCACAAACCTCAGTATCATGCGATATATTCATGTAACAAACTTGTACATGTACCTACTGAATCTAAAATAAATAAAAGAGGAGCTTTCAAACTTTTTTATTGTAACCCACACTAAGAAATTATTTTACTTATTTTTAATTATTATTTTTTGTACAGATAGGGTCTTCCTATGTTGCCCAGGCTGGTCTCGAACTTCTGGGCTCAAGCAAATCAAGAGATCATTTTACATAGAAACTCAGTATACATACACACACATAAAAATTTAAAAATAAAAGTAACTGAAATAAAGTTTTCACAAACTATTCTTAGCATTGTTATGTGTTGTGCAGTGATGTTTTCTGTCCTAACCCATCCCATTCTGTTCTGTTCTATTCTCTTTCAGTTGTGGTCAAAACGCACTAAATTGATTTCATGAGCCAGAATTTTTCTTTTCCTGCTGCTTTTGGGAGAGCTCCTCAAACTCTTCAAACCCAGTCCATTCTTCAGTTGTATCTATTCTGCTTCATATTTGTTTTTTAAAAATTAAATTGTTGTGGCTCCAGATGAGGGTTTTTTTTTAAAGAAATTAAAAAAATTGTTGTGAGTACATAGTAGGTGTACATATTTATGGGGGATATGAGATGTTTTGATGTAGGCAGGTAATGCATAATAATCCCATCATGGGGAATGAGGTATCCACCCCTTCAAGCTGTTATCCTTTGTGTTACTATCAATTCAATTATACTCTTCTGGTTATTTTTAAAATGTACAATTAATTATTATTGACAATAGTCACACTGTTGTGCTACATTCTGCTATTTATTCCATCTATTTGTCCTTTATTTTATTACTTTCTTCATACTTAATGTTTCTACTAGGTTTAAAACAATTAATTCTTTCTCTTGCTTAATGTTACTAATAAGTCCCCTCCCTCTTTGATATATGTATTATGTTTGCTTTAAATTCTTGATGTCTATTCCTATAATTATGTTTCAAATGACATGACCTGTTCCATCTGTAGTCTTTCTTTTACACTAATTGTGCTCCTTAGCTGTCTCAACTCAGCACTTTGGAAATTGCTCAGGCTGAAAAATTTGGAAAACATAGAAAAATACAATATAAATAACAAAATAAAAACCACCCATAATTTCACCCAGAGTTAACCAATTGACATTTTATTGTATTTTCTTTCAGTCCTTCTATTTGCATGTTTAGCACATTAAATTATTGAGAAAATACTGTATGTAATTTTCTATCTGAACCTTTCTCTTAACTTTAAGATTTTCTCAAGTTATTAAAACTGTTCACAGACCTTGCTTTAATGATTGCAAAATATTCCAACATAAGAATAATATATTTAATCCCGAGCATTTAGAATGTTTCTATTTTTTTTTTTTTTTTGCTTCTTAAATAACTGCAACAAACAGTTTGTACATAAATATTTACTCATATTTCTGGTTATTTCCATAAAATAGAATCTAGAATGAATGGATTCAAGGGAACGGACACTAAGATCCAAGCTCTGTTTTGCCAAATTGTTTGCTGAAAGATTTGTATGACTTTACAGTTCCACAGGAGTGTGTAACTGAGTTCCTACCATGATGTTCATCATCCTCACGTAATTTGCTACTTTGACAGAGTTTTCTCTTTCCTATTTTGCATGTCTCTGATTAGTAGTGATCATTCATTGTTTGTATTTACTTTTCTGTAAATTTTGCGTTCAGGCCATTCCCAGTTTTTTCTGCTCTGGAAGGCTAGCCAACCAAAGCTTTCTAGCAAAGGTGCTCACATGTGCCTCTAGTGGAAGCTATTGAGAATGCCTTCTGCAAAGGGGTGTATGTACTTTACTGCAACCTATGACTTGCAGCCTGGTGTCAGAGGTTGGAATCAGGTGAAGTGCCACACTGAGTGTAGACAATGAGGTTTCAGTGTGTTTGCATATGCGTAACAGAGAGGTGATAGTTCAGTCTCAGTTTAAGCCTGGACATCAGGCAATAAAGAGTGTGTGTGTGCATATGTGTGTTATAGAAAAGGTTGGTCACCAAACACATTTTAAATACACACACGAAATTACAGCTTATGACAAGGCTTTCTCATGGCCTCATAAACATACTTTTCATTTTCAGTGTGACTTGTAGACAGCTGCATCCCTAGAATCACTTTAGAGAGCCCTGTCCTTCCCAAGCAGAGAGATTTGTCTGCACAGCCAACCTCTGGGTGAACTACAAATGCAAAATAAATAAATGTCTTCTTCTAGAAGAGCAATATTATTTTTCAATTCTTCTTATAACTAAAAATACTAAGTCTATTTCCAGGAAATTATTAGACAATGTGAACAAATACCAGAAGTTTATAGAGCTGCAAAGATGTACTCTGGAGAGTCTGGTGTTGAATGTAGCCCCCAACACGAGGAGTCCTCTCTGGAATGGAAATATGTGTATTTTTCAGTTGAATTCATGATAAAAAATACTTTATGAGCTTTTGACTTTGGGGTTCGAAATCTAAACATGTGCCACTACAAACCACTGAGATGAGGAGCTAAATAAGTCTGTGGGCGTGTGTTAGGATGGGAGGACCAGTCCAGGTTAACAATGTAAGGAAAATTCCTGAGTCCATGTATATAATTTTGGCGTTATAAAACACAGATTTGGACTTTTGCTGACATTCTGAATTATTGAGGATGTCTGAGTCCTGCTCAGGCCATGAAATGCTTGTTTAAGGAATTGTCAGGCAAGCACAAGCTGCCTAGTGGGACCTAGAGACCACTAAAATATCTTCTTCACAAAGGAATCTCACCTCCCAACCACACTCTCTATAAAAGACCCACCACTGGAACCTTGATTAAGGCGGTATCAAGAGGATGCCCAGGTTAAAATGTACCCACTCTTGGGAAAGGCACCAAACATCGTCAGTCAATAGCAGCTTACCCAGACTTATTGCCAGACCAAGTAAGAGCTGGCTTGAAGAAGCAGGGTGGGGGTGGAAAGAGCCTGGCCGATGGAGTCCTGCCTTAGGAGAGGCTACTGACCTGGAACAGGAGGACGGAAAGCTCTGCTCTGTCATGGCTGCCTCCATGAGGCTTAGTAGCAACATCCAGAACCTATCTCCTCAGTCATCACATGGAGATGTCCACTTCACCCGTTGTTGAAATTAGCTTAGCACATGGGAACCAGCATGAGTGGTAGGTAATGTTACACTACAGGAGAACGCTGTAGTGGAGTGCCCTAGACAGCCAGAGAAAAATTTTAGATCATCTTGCGGCTCCCAAGGAGCGGGACAGGTAAGGAGGGGGAGTAAGGATGAAAAAGCATGGGGTGGGAGTGGGGATGATCACAATTTTGTCCAGAACTAATTGTGGAGGAGTCTTGACTCATGCCTTTTTACTGAAGGTGATCTGCAGAGTCTGAATCTGAAAGTTTCAAAATTGTGAACAAGTTGAGGTTTCAAATCCAGAAGGGCAAGTCCCCCTTACATTGTTCTGTCAGCAGACACCTTCCCCCTCACTTCACCAATGTGTGTGTTCTGTTAGGACAATGGGCTTCCTTTGAGGGTTTCTGGGGTGAAAAAGATACAGGAAAATGAATATATCAAACATTTTATCAGTGTCTACTGCATGCAGAGTAGACAAAGAGCTAAGTGAGTGGAGGTTCAAGAACTAACAGAAAAAGAGAAGCAACCCAAATGTCCACCACTGGATGGATGGATGGATGGACGGACGGATGGATGGATGGATGGATAAACAAAATGGGGCATATACATTCAATGGAACATATTCAGCCGTAAAAAGAAGATATTTTGATACATGCTTCCACAAGGATGACCCTTAAAGACATTATGCTAAGAGAAGAAAGCCAGACACAAGGGACAAATGTGATTATGATTCCACTCAGATGACGTACCTAGAGTAGATAAATTCATAGAGACAGAAAGTAGCATAGTGGTTGCCAGGATCTGGTGAAAGGTTGGGGGGTGTAGAAGAATGGTTGGGGAAATGGGGAGTTACTTTTTAATGGGTAAAAAATTTCAGTTTGGGATGATGGAAAAGTTCTGGAAATGGGTAGTGGTAATAGTTGCACAACAATGTGAATGTACTTAGTGCCTCTAAACCGTACACTTAAAATCGTTAAAATGGTAAATTATGTATATTTTACAACCCTACTCGCCCCTCCCCCTACTAGCCAAGTAAGCAATAAACAACTCAGAGCCCAGGTTTTGGCCCCCCGACGCTTGAGTTTAACAGGAATGGAAATGCCTGTAGCCCCGAGGAAGGACAGCGAAGGCTGAATGGGCCCTAGAGCAGCGACTCCCGGCATCCCTCCCTTTCGTGGGGGCGCTCAGGAGGACCTCATCATCGGGCAGAGTAACTACCTACCTGGTTACCCAGGGGACGGAGCACCCTCAGACCAGGGACTCGCGTTTTCTTCTGTCTGTTTACAGGGCTCAGAGTGACAGGCACAAACAGTATCTCAATACAGCCTTCTAGGATGACTCTTCAAAGGAGGGTCGAGGCGCCGGGGAAACCGCCGGGGTTGAAAACACGTTCATATTCACGTTCATGGGTAAAATTCTGGGATGCACAAGGAATAGCCTAGGATCCTGCCCGGTAAGTCTGAGCCTCCAGGTCTCCGCCAGCCCTCATCCGCCGAAGGAGGTCCCTGGGCCTGGGGCGCTCATGGTCAGGGGCAAAGGACAAAGGGCGGAGGCAGAGAGCCTTTCCCAGGGTAGCGCAACCTCTCGGGTTCTCACCGAAAGTAATCCACGTGACCCCCGCGCGGGGGCTCCTGGAGCGCCCAAACCACTTGCGGGGGGGAAAAAGCCGAAGCCTGCAGTCCAAGGACCTGCCTCCACTCCCACCCAGTCCCGGCTGCCCGCAGCCTGTGGCAGGGACGCCCGGGAGCGGGCTGCCCACACTCGGGAAACGCAGGCTGCTGGGTGAGTTCCCGGCGCTGGCCGAGCTCCCAGGGAGTTCCCGGCCCGGGCGCGAGGGCCCGCAGGTCGTCGCTCCGCCGCCAGGGGGCAGCTCTGCCCCACGCAGGCACCACCGGGGACCCGCGCCCAGCCACTTTCCGTGTCCACGCGAGCGGGTTGCGCGGGACGGGGGTCGCCGCGTCGCTTCTCCGGCTCGCCGCTGGGAAAGGTTTTGGTCCCTTGTATCAGCTTGGGGGCGGGGAGCCGGGGGAGAGTTACCAGCTGGGGCCGAATGCTGGGAGCGCTGTAGGGAGGGAGGCCCGGGGTGGGGGACGACGGGGGAGACAAGGGGGTCGCGCAAGACGTGAATCGCTTGGGTTTCCGCGCTTGGGGAATTTCGCGAAGTCGGAACTAAAGGTTGCATACAAACATGGAGCTTAACTAAGCAAACAAAACAAGTGGCCACATCCAAATGTGGGGCTTCAGTAAAGCTCGCCTAAATCTTAGTGACACTTCTCCGTCTCTGCAGCGGTCCCTCTGGGCTGATCTTCCACTCTGACCTTCAGTAAGTCCTAACACTTTCCCCGGAGTGGCCAGGAGATAATTCGCCACATTTTGCAAACGTTTCCAGGGAAGAGCCTCTTAAGCCTTTGGGGGAGGAACTTGCGGACAAAGTTAAAAACGAACGCAGTCTAACTCCCGCGCCATGAGCGTTATGATGGCTGTAACCGGTCACCTAAAGTAATTAATGGTCCGCGAACAAATTCTTCCTCTCTGTTTCATCTTTGAATAACTTCGCCACACACCAACCCTCAGTGCTGCGAAAGTCATGGTGTTTATTTAGATATCGACTGAGTACTTATAAAACTTAAACTTTCCAATGTAAAAGTGAACTCCTTGGTAAGGACTCCTGGCTGCATCAACAAAGAAATGTGATGCCTGATTAATAGTGCTGATTAATGTTGGCTCAGGTTAATGCTCAGCCTATTACAGTAATTAAATGGTTCAGTCATATATCAAACGAGAGTCAATGAAAAACAATTTAGAACGTCGAGGCTTTCTCATAGATTGTTCAAAGACCTGTGATAGTCTTTATGGGTCATGTGTAAATGTAACTGGTGGTAGCAGTCCTCAGCAACAAAAACTCGATTTTAATAGAGGTCTTTAGATGGGGAAACAGTTTATTTTTGAGGCTCTGTGATTGATAGAGGTAGTAATGACACGTTTCAAAATGTGAAAAGTACTTGGTCGATAAAATGATATACACAAGAGCAGCTGATGGCTGTTACTACAGAACGTCATTGAAGTTTGATTTAGTTCTTGTCAAGAGGTCATTTTAATCAGAAAGTTAAACTTTTGGGGCAAGCTCCCCTCTTTGAAATAGAAGCATTTTAGGAAATGCACAAATAAGTGAATGTGAATTCAACAAACTATTAGGATTTTCCCACTAGCCAAAATAGCTCGTTTGAGTTGGTGATAAAGATATATTTAAAAGAGCATATCTTAATTATTTCCACTATCTTGTCACCTGAAAAGAAAACTAAATTGAGCAGAACTTGAATCTCATTAAAAAAATCTTCATTTCACCAGAAAGTATTAACAATATTTAAGGATTTTCCAAAAACACATTTTTTAAAGTTTATCTTAAAGTCATCTATCATTATAGTCTCTATTTAAAAAGACTCAGTAGAAATATGTATACGTTACGTAATTTAAGTATTTTGAGATTACTATGAAGAGTGCTGACTAGAATGTTCCTCCTACTGAGAACTACATAGCCCCATTATGAACGAACTTTTTTTCTTTTTTTTTTTGAGGCGGAGTTTCGATCTTGTTGCCCAGGCTGGAGTGCAGTGGCACGATTTCGGTTCAGTGCAACCTCCGCATCCCAGGTTCAAGCGATTCTTCAGCCTCGGCCTCCTGAGTAGCCGGGATTACAGGCGCCACCTACTAATTTTTTTGTATTTTTAGTAGAGACGGGGTTTCACCATGTTGGCCGGGTTGGTTGAACTTTTCAGTAGTTTCTAGGTGCAATTTTTGTGCGTGTATTTGGGTTTTCACTAAAATTTTCTATTTCTTTTCCGAATTCAATTATTATGTTCTTTATTCCCATGACACTTGTCAGATCGTCTCATTAGAGTGGCTTAGTTTAACTGTCAAGTCTCTGGGGCATTCAACTGCAGAGAAGTGACTAAAACGCCAGTCTCAGAGCAATTTTATTAACAGATGGAAAATAAACGTCTTTGGAGTAAAACCTAAGAGAATGGGCTAAGGAGTCAATAAACAATTATTATCGTGATTAAATTGGGGGGCTTCTCATCAGAGCCAATGGGGAGTCGCTCGCCGATCTAGGGGAGTTGGACACCCCCAACAGACCCCAGAGCGTACCCCAGGGACCACGTCAGACAGTGGGGTGGTTATCCCCCGGCTGGACGGCTTCTACAGGCTGTCGAGGGGTCAAACCAGAGTGTCGCGGGTGGGCTGCTGAGGTTAGAGAGGAGGACTAATTGAGGAGGCTGGGAAGTCTAACTCGTGCAGCGGCCCTCGGTACAGAATGCCAGGTAATTCGGGCATTAGCCCCTTTGGCAGGAAATAGTGAGGTCCCCTCTCCTCCCAACTCTTCTCAGCTGCTGCCTCCCTCCTACGGGTGAATTTTCTCTCCCGAACAGGGCTGATTTCCTAGGCTTTCTTCCTTCGGCAGCGCTCTGACGTGCACACCATGTGACAGGCCCCCTTCTGCTATAAGCCGAGGAAGGTCCGCCCTCTCCTGGACTCAGCCCTGGCCTCGCCGAGCTCTGTTCCTAGACTCTCACCCGTCCCGCACGTTCTTGGGCGCCAGGCATTCGGATTCGCCCGCCCGGGCCCCGCCACCCCCTCCTCAACCGACGGGGCAAAAGCTGCTCCGAGAGGAGAAGGTCAAGTGCTCTGCCCGGGACGGACGCGAGCGGAGCCCAGTGAGCGCAGCATCCGCGCGGCTACCGCGGCGGCGCAGGAGTTACAAAGTCTGCGCGCGAGACTCCGCCGCCACCCAGCAGCCCCGGCGCAGCTCCGGCAGCCGCAGTCGCAGCGCCCCCAGCGTGGCGCCCCCCGGCCGGGCCTGCCGCCCGGGACCAGGGCTGGGGCGCAGAGGGAACCCGGAGCCCGGCGCCCCCATGCGCCGCCCCGCCGCCGCCACGCCACAGCTATGACCCTGAGCACTGAGATGTCCGATGCCTCCGGCCTCGCCGAGGAAACAGACATCGACGTGGTGGGGGAGGGCGAGGACGAAGACGACGAGGAAGAGGAGGACGACGACGAGGGCGGCGGTGGCGGGCCCCGGCTGGCTGTCCCCGCGCGGCGGCGGCGGCGCTCCTACGCCGGGGAGGACGAGCTGGAGGATCTGGAGGAGGAGGACGACGACGATGACATCCTGCTGGCCCCGCCTGCTGGGGGCTCCCCGGCGCCCCCGGGCCCGGCCCCGGCCCCGGCGGCGGGGGCAGGAGCCAGTGGGGGCGGCGGCGGCGCGGGCGGCGGCAGCGGCGGCGGCGGCGGGAGCGCGGGTAGCGGCGCCAAGAACCCGCTGGTGAAGCCGCCCTACTCGTATATCGCGCTCATCACTATGGCCATCCTGCAGAGCCCCAAGAAGCGGCTGACGCTGAGCGAGATCTGCGAGTTCATCAGTGGCCGCTTCCCCTACTACCGAGAGAAGTTCCCCGCCTGGCAGAACAGCATCCGCCACAACCTCTCGCTCAACGACTGCTTCGTCAAGATACCCCGCGAGCCCGGCAACCCAGGCAAAGGCAACTACTGGACGCTGGACCCGGAGTCCGCCGACATGTTCGACAACGGCAGCTTCCTGCGCCGGAGGAAGCGCTTCAAGAGGCAGCCGCTACTCCCACCCAACGCCGCGGCCGCCGAGTCGCTACTGCTGCGCGGCGCGGGAGCCGCAGGGGGCGCGGGCGACCCGGCAGCAGCCGCCGCGCTCTTCCCGCCCGCGCCGCCGCCGCCCCCGCATGCTTACGGCTACGGCCCCTACGGCTGCGGCTACGGCCTGCAGCTGCCGCCTTACGCGCCGCCCTCGGCCCTCTTCGCTGCCGCCGCGGCCGCCGCAGCCGCCGCCGCCTTCCACCCGCACTCGCCCCCGCCGCCCCCGCCGCCGCATGGCGCGGCCGCCGAGCTGGCCCGGACCGCCTTCGGCTACCGGCCGCACCCGCTCGGCGCCGCCCTGCCCGGCCCCCTGCCGGCCTCCGCGGCCAAGGCGGGCGGCCCGGGCGCCTCAGCGCTGGCGCGCTCGCCCTTCTCCATCGAGAGCATCATCGGGGGCAGCTTGGGCCCGGCCGCCGCTGCCGCTGCCGCCGCGCAGGCCGCCGCCGCGGCTCAGGCCTCGCCCTCGCCCTCGCCAGTGGCTGCTCCTCCCGCGCCCGGATCCAGCGGAGGAGGCTGCGCAGCGCAGGCGGCCGTGGGCCCGGCGGCCGCGCTCACCCGCTCCCTCGTGGCAGCCGCGGCCGCCGCCGCCTCCTCCGTCTCCTCGTCCGCCGCCCTGGGGACTCTGCACCAAGGGACTGCCCTGTCCAGTGTCGAGAACTTTACTGCTAGGATATCCAATTGTTAATAACGCTATGTTAGCGCGCTCGAGGAAGAAGGTAGGAATCCCGGCTCCTTTTCTCGTCTCAGTGGTTCGGTGTTTTGTTCGCTCCTCCCGGCGCGGCCCCTCTCGACCTCGCGCGCCTATTTTCGCCGCTGCGAATTCTCGGACGAAACTGTCAGCAGCTCGGGCGGGCTTTTCGGCTCTGCGGGTCCCTCTATTTATGCAAAGCCGTCCTATGCTACAGCCCCCCCGACCTGGAG